CTGGGCGCTTGAAACGACCGCGGGAAGAGGAAGCGTTTGGTGAAGCGGCAGTTTGCGCAAGCAAACGGGCGCGGATTCGGTAGTGCAACATATACAGCACCTTTTTCAGAGTAAAGTCAAATTACAAAGTTGCGCAAAGTATAACATACATAAACTTAATTAAACATAAGAACAGATAAGACGTTTAGAGCCTTGTCGGTGACATGGACGCCGCTGTTGGCTTGGAACAGCTATTTGCTGTGCATAGGGACGTGCCCGCGTTAGCCGTGTTGCAACAGCTCAGGATGGATTTCAGCCAGCAACAGCCTCAAGAGCTGCTGCACAACCACCGGGAATGTCTTCAGTTGGGCACGTGTAGTTTTGGTCGGCGGGGTCGCATTGCGCACAGAAACCAAGGTGCAGCGTCTCTGTAACATCGCCAACATATCCGGTACGCGGTGGCAGGCTTGCCGAGCACGAAATGAAGGGGGGGTCGCATCTCACCATTCAACTAAGCATGCATATAGCATGCGAGTTTACCCCTATCAGGATGTTTGTTTGCATATCCCTCCAAGCGAGAGGGCTTGGACCTATGCTGATGTTCGTTCCAAGACGTGAACTGAGGACTGATGCTACGTAAATTCGCCCGTGCGCCAAACGCCCTGTAACTCGCTTACGCTAATCTCACATTCCAATATGCCACTGCACTTTCCTCTCCAGCCTGGCCACATTCTCTTCCTCGCAAACGTACTTGGGCACCTTACAATCCAACACCATACGTGCTTTGGAAACGCGAGCAGCTGCTTCACAAGGACCCCCCTATTTAAGCAGCCCCTCGCAGAAATGTGAGGGGTCGTACTCTGCCGAATAAACAGACCGTACAAAATGGCCCAAAGACAGTCCCGAATTTTAACGCGCGGATGCGCGCGTGCGATTCGCAAAATGCGCGTGTACAAGTGTATATAANATTTTTGGGCGGGGCCCCAGCGCGAAGCGCCCAGGGGGGCCCCGACCTGTAGGATTGCCCATGTCCGTGTGTGTGTGTGTGTGTGTGTGTGTGTGTGTGTGTGTGTGTGTGTGTGTGTAACGGACCAAACATAATATCTCGCCCGGCTGACACGCGTTATAGGTACTATACAGCATTCTCTATTGCA